GGTAAGTTGTTGCGTTCTGGGGGGTGTTTCACAAAGATCCTAAGTTGAACCTGTCTCTAAGTTGGAATTAATTATTATGGAAAGCCGTTAGCATCTATGAAAATATTTCGTAAAAGTTATGTTAAAAGGCATAACATTTTTATTCGAATCATTCATATTAATCTATTATCAGGGAGATGTCATGTTCTTGATGTGGAATTTATAAAAAGTCTAAAATACTTGGATTTTCGCTTCTGAATATATTTTATTTTAAAGATACAAATGGCTCTCCATAATTTTTAAGTCCAACTTAGAGTTAAGTTTGACTTAAAATCAATGTGAAACACCCCCCCCCCCCTGGTCACACGCGGGGTCACACATTTAGACCAGATTCTGGTCGTTTTTGATATTTTACCTTGGAGTTCGTGCGCATGCTCACTTCACGAATCCCACCATTCTCCACGAATATACTTGCGCAATTCTCTTGTACATAATTGGACTAACTCTAGTGTGCGAGGGGGCGAGCACGTCGCTAAGGTGTACCAATAAAGAAAAGTCAAGGCAATTCATGATATGTTATCTACTATTATTAATCTTATAAATATAAATATTGTTATTAACAATGAAATCGGTACTAAGCGGAGAGTATTCCCCAAGGGGCATTTTTATTATGTATTTCACTTTTTTTTGTGGCAGGGGAATCTCAAAAGGATTTGGCAATTGTTTACATTACAACTACAATTTTCGTTTTTTTCTGTGTGCGTCGGGTTATGAATTTATTTGCGCATCCTCAACCTTCACTTTCAAAATGAAATTATGGAAGCGTTGTATCATCTGCTCAATCCGACTTACTTGCATCCCGCCTCCCCCCCCCCCCCCACTCCGAGAACGGATGTATACCATGCGTGTTCCCAAAAAGTCTGGTAAAGGGGTACTTTTCACGCACCAAAGTCCGGCTTTTAGTACCAAATATCTGTTCCGTATTGACTTTACACACCGGACTTAGGGGGGGGGGGGGTGTTTTCAAAAGGAGGGAACATGCATAAATTATGCGTACCTGGGACTGGGACGGGCATAAAACAATTACGAATTTCTGCATATTAAAAAAGAGAAGTTTTCAAAAAATTGCGTTTCCAGCATGTGGGTGCCCGGGAGTCACTAAGTTAACCTTTCAAAGATTATTGTATAACAAAAATATATGGCACTTTCTCTGCACTTTTGTCGGAAAAAACATAGTAACCCAGCACAATGTCGTCTCTTTTTGCCTTGGAGAAGAGCAAAATAGCGCGCTTCGGCAGCTCTCGCAACCCCTCACTCGTTCCATTGTGGTCAGGCGGCTTTGGGGTGAGCTGCTAATGAATTTACTAATCGTTAGCTTTCTTCTGGTACTAAACTTGTTTTGATTGGTTGTATATTTTTGTAGGAATTTACCCATTCACATAATGGAACAACCTGCCCGATGAAACTAGTGGCCCGTGACCCCTGTACTCAACATCACTGTTTGGGAGTTAGTTTATGGTCAATTTCTTTTATGAGACAATTCCGAGCAAACCTTTCAATATGAAAATCTCTTTTCCGCAGTTTCCGAGATTAAACAATAATGGCGATTGTAAATCCTGGTTAATGCCCTGGGTGTTTGCATTAAGTTTGACTCAATCTATTCCAATTTAAAGGTAGTTATAAATATGGAAGCAGCGAGTTTCGGGACCATACTGCTACAGTCGACCTGAGATGGCGCTAAAAGATTCTGCGGTAGTACGTGTTTCTAGTACAATGTGGCTTTAAAGAACTACGGTCTTGCTACAAGATTTGGGAACCGTTAATTTCCTCATTTCTTCTTTAAAATTCAAACAGGTGCTGGCACGGGCGATGGTATCTAGATGAAATGACAACAGGCCCGGATGCCACACTGTTGCCCCGACCCATGTTTCGACTTCCACTCCAAGACCCCCTGCAGGTGGTTGCTTAACTTCGTGTCTATGTGTGTATGTCTTTTTATCATTGCGCAGTGAAAGAAAATAGAAATAGTTCAATGAAATAAACTCCTGAACATCACATAGAATTGTTAATGTGTTTCTTCTTAATGTGGCTCATGAGGTGCGTGTGTGTGGGCGCGGGGAGTGTATGTTTGTGTGAGAGAGTGGGATTGGGGAGTAGGGCTATAGGGGAAGGAGAAAGAGAAAGCGAAATGAAGATAAGAAGAAGAGAGAGAGAGAGAGAGAGAGATGGGAGAGAGACAGAGAGACATAGAAATGGCGGAGTAGGGCGACGGATAGAAAAATGAGAACAAGAAAGCGAAATATAGACAAATAAGGAAATATATACATAAATAGCGAGAGAGAAAGAGAGAGCGACCACAATGAAGGTAAAAATAGAAAATAAAAAAGAATAATGACAAAAAAATAAATACAAGCAAAACTAGACAAACAAACAAACAAAAAGCAGGTCAAACTATCATGTCGATCTGATCAGGTACACGATTCTAAGAAAGAATGGTAGTATCCTGATAACACACAAAAAAAATATGATCAGAAATACGCAATTTAAAAGCAAAGAAGTGTCATGTTACAATAATATTTAAAAGCAGTGTAGAAAAAATTCCATGACAAACGTGAGTATGATAATTTACCAAATAAATCTTTTATACCAATAACATCGGGAGGCAAAATATGATTCCTCACAAATTCTTACGATATGTTTTCTTTTTTCTTTAAGGTTTACACGGGGGTTTACAAAATGCAATTTCTAAAATGCACTAAAGGAATCGTTTAACAATACAGATTTAAATAACGAGGAACCTTAACAGTGATAGTTATATGTTATTATTCTTCCACTATATTGCCAGAATAATTATATAGGATTTCTTGCATGCTTAACATTTTAATACAATCAACTATTACGTCCCATTTAATTATCGAGTTTAGAACTTGTTTTAAGAGCAGAAAAGTTAAAGGGCACTTTAAGCACTCTAGGAAATATTAATTAATTAATTAATTAATTAATTAATTTTTTTTTTTGGGGGGGGGGGGGGGGGGAGTGAGCACTTATTTTTTTTTGCTCCCGAAAATTTACTTTACAGTAATTGTGCATATAACTAATTATATGTATTAGGGATAGTTGTTATTTCAGATGTGCATCAATCTTTTCTTTGAGTAGGGATGGTTTTTCATGGTGGAGATTAAAGATAAACTTGAGTACTGGTAATGCGATTGCATTGTTAAAGAAAAGGTGTGAATTGGATCAGAAAAGTTGATCATATAGCATGTAAGTAATGGTGTGTAATGCAAGGTTCTGGAGTCATCAAAATCATCACAAATTTGGCAGAGTCTTGGTAAAGTAACAGTCACTTACACAGATAGATGTATATGGGACAACACACATGGTGTCGGGGCTAGTACTACCCTGATTTCCTTATCTTTCTATGCTCATTACTCAGCCAGTATACATTTTCTTCCAAAATTGTTTGGCACATGACATTTATTTGTAATCTTGAACATTCAGTGTATTTTTCGTTAGATTCTGTGAGAATTCATTTTCTTTTTTTTACCAGAACTCAAGTTTATCTTTAAAAAAAAAAAGGTTCGGGCAGGATTAATTGCTTGCAACTTATTTTGTGTAAAAACATTAGTTTTGTCACAAGTGGGCTCAATTACCCATGCTATCTTCTTCGTCTTCTTCTTCTTGGTTTCCTCCAGGTTTGGAGAACTGCGGAGTGTATCCTTTCGCAGATTGAGTAAATAGATAATAGACAGACAATACATAACTGGGTACATAATATCAAAGATCACAAGATGTGCAGATGACAACTTATGCAGGAGCTGCTTTGTTCACAACAGAATGTTTCGAGTGCATATCTAAGATGAATGTTATGGATGCAGCATGGTAATCCAGGGCCTGGGCAGTTATGGGTGGGTCATCGTTGACTCCAAGGAGGATGAGATTTGTGGTGACATCGGCCACGAGATGAGGAGGAACTAATTGTTTACTCATTATCATGATCCTATCTGTTTGGATTGAAATAAATAAAGATTAAATTTGAATTTGAATTTGAGTTTGAATTTGAATTTGAATTTGAATTTGAATTTGTTCAGCATTCAAAGTACAGGTAATGTCAAGTTTTATAACGAGTATTTTTCACCTTCATTTGTTCTAATTAGTGCATTGATGAATATCGTAAAGTGACTTGGTAACATTGATGAAGGTTGATTAAAAATTTGTGTAAATTTGGTATGAAATGTTACTTATTATCTTCCTTTTAATGTACCAACCCTCTAACATGCAAAAAATCCTGAATAAAATTCTCAAACCACAAAGATATTAATGGTTTTCCAAGAAGGCGACACTGGTCAACACCCTCTTACAGTGATCAACAGTAAATTTTCCCAACCGTTTTTCAATGAGAAAAAGATATGAAACAGGCAATAAAACAATTTTGGAATGGTATGTAGAGCCAATTTATTGCTTTGTGGCAATTTACATTCACCTAAAATGTAATTCAGTTGTAATAATATAGTTGGGGGGAATTAAGGAATCCATCAGATCAGTTTTTCCCAATTTGTATCATTAATAATGGTCCTTTTTCACTCAAATTTTCCGATTATCTTTAATTGTACATCGAGTATTGAAGTCACTACCTTAGCACCGCTTAACAATGTTACAAAGTCCCTTCAATGGAAAAGTTTGTGCATTTGAAGTTACATTAACATTATAGGCCCGAATTCACAAAGCAAGGTTTGAGCTCAAACCTCCTTTTGTTTCGCCAAACCTCCTTTTGTTCTTTACAAACCAGGTTTGTGAAAAACGCGTAAAACGCGTCATATGACGTACGAAAATCAAGGTTTGTCGACAAACCTCCTTTGTGAATTCGGGCCTATAATGTTTATCACTGTCAAAGTGCATGATATGTACATATCAAGCTCTATCAGACATTGTTTGCTGAACGTCCTGCCGAAAAGGTTGTTGACAAATGTTTTTATAAACGGCCTTTTATCTTATCCCCTAAAATGCTTCTATATGTGTAAGTTGTGTGTACCATTGTAAACGGTTTGGTTGATTCGTACTCTAATGACGGAGGCACTCTATTATTACCAAGATTTTAAAAACATATATAAGAAGGCGGCCGAGAAAGGGTAAGTTTTTCTACACTGTAGATAAGTGAGGTAAGAATATGTACCCGATATAAGCTACAAAGGGGACATATTATGTTTGTTGGGTTAAGCATTGCCCTATATTGGGTAAATTTTACCAAAAAAGCCAGTGCACAGTTGCAGTCTTAGCATGAGCAGGTAAAGGCCATTGCAAACCAAATTGTGAAATACACGGAGACAAAATACTGGATGAGTGCTCATGAAAGTTATGTAATAATTATTCATTTATGCACGATCACTGCTCTCCATTATACACTGGTGGAAGTGTTCTTTGAAAAGGGGAAACAAAGGTTATTTATGTAGCACCCCATCGCTGTAGGAGTGATAATTTCAAAATGAACAAAGTGGGACCTCTTCATGTTTTGAAGATCTGTGGATATACGGGGTCATTTGGGACATGTGCTAACCTCGAACTGGTCTATTAAAGGCTCGACCGTTCACATATGATGCGGGAAAACCCGCGGCGTTTTTTTTGTATGCCGTAAAACGTACTACATTCAGTTTTCTGTGTAAAATAACACAGGGCGGTGTCAGACCAAAGAGATACCAGCAATTTTCCCGATCTTTCTTGAATACGCCAGTTTACGGTTGCAGTCTGAGCATGAGCAGATAACGGTAATTGCAGAACAAATTGAGAAATACACGGATACGAAGTACTGAATACGTGCTCATAAATGTTATGTAATCATTAATCATTTATGCACTCAATGTTACACAGATGGAATTTTGTTTTGAAAGGGGAAACAATTAAAGGCTATTTATGTAGCACCTCCATCGCTGTAGGAGTGATTATTTAAAAAATGTCCAAAGTGGGATCTCTTCATGTTTTTAAGATCTGTGGATGCTCGGGGTCATTGCAGTAATGTGCTAACCGTGAACTGGTCTATTATCTAGATAATTCACTTACGTAGGTGAAAGACAGGCTACGAATTATCGAGATTACTATTATCTATATAATTGAAAGGCCAGTGCGCATGTACCGTACAGGTAGATATGCATTGTGACATCACACGCTCAATCAAAAGTAATGCGCAATGACAATGACAATTTTATTCTCATGTCACCCACATTAGGGTGTTGGAGAAGTTTACAATCAGTGTGAATTTGTCAATTTAACACTGTGAAATTTACAATACAAATCGAATTAATGTTAATCAATACAAAATAACACTATCGCGTGAAAAATACTTAAAAGTTCATAAAATATTTTGTGAAATGTCATGCACGCATTATGACAAGTTTTGGGGGATAAAAAGGGCAATTAATGGGATAAAAATATATAAAGCAGTTAAAAAAATAGTGAGGCAATGACGTCACAAACGGATACCCAAATTGGCAATTTGTGTAGTGATTAGCTAAGTTTCATAATTGTTCATATATATATTTTGTTATAACTTCCTTATTAATTATTCGATTTCACTCAAACTTGTTTTGATTGGTTTGTCTGATTTGTCTGCATCTATTTAAAGCAAATTATTGTTGGAGTGGACCTAGTCTTTATTCTCCATCCAAATAGGTAAATAGGTTCCTAATATGCTTGAGCGCGCGCTATAACCGGTGTAATGATGTCGAAACCCCATGAGCATCAGCGTTTGCTAGATAAGAAAGCCATGTAATTCATTTTCATGATTATGAATAACCTTGACTGGAAAATCCATCCACCCACTTGATTCGATAGGTAATTTTTGTAAAAGTTTTCCTTCTTCTCGATTCTTTATGTATTTATACAGATACAGGCAGCAACATGAGTTCAGGTTTTTCATCAAAGGTCCCCGATTGCGTGGTCCAGACATGCTACGAGTACGAAGGCGTCATTATGCCTGTCTTCATGCCGTTGTCGGCGCTGAAGCGCGTCAGGAAATTCGAATGTCGACCCGATGACCTGTTTATCGTGACCTTTCCGAAGTCAGGTAGGTATACAGATTTATTGCGATCCTAAGAATTGAACATTTTAAAGGTAAAAAAAGACCAGTATTGGAAACGCCCCAATTTCAAAAAATGAAATGGAAGCTCTTATTACCAATCATGTGAAAGAATATGTTTTGACTAATACATGATTATAAAAAATTTGCCGGGAAACCGCCTACTAATTGATATATTTGGTAAATTCGTCCCTGTTTTCACGAAGTGACGGTAGTGAGGAAAATCGCATATATTTTCACTTTTGATTTTTTTGCATTTTTGGACATCATTCACTAACATCTTGAACCTCACAAAATTTCAGATCATAATAATGTCTAATTATGTCACTATGACGATGACGTAAACAAGAAAATGCATAGCAAAAGGATTTAATGTTTTCACGAAGTGACGGCCAAGTACGCGCTTAACAGCCGTCAATTCGTGAAAACATCGTTTGCTCTTTTCATTTTTTCATGCTTTTAATATTTTCACGAAGTGACGGTAGTGAAAATTTCGCAGTTTGGAACAGTCACAGACCATGAAAAGGTGAGTTTTTAAACATTTTTTTCAGGTAAATTAATGTGGTACGCTCTTTTGATTCATTCTGATTCTTTGTAAGCCATAAATATGTCCATGAGTACAGAAATGTGTGAAAAATACACCCCCGTTCCACATTTCGCCCCATATACTTATTTTCATGTAAGTGAATAAAGGAGTGAAGTATCATGTGATCCAAAACTAAAAAGATCAACTTAGACTTAACAAATATGCATCTAGACTAAATGACTTAAGTGGAGAGTCTTTCTTATTTTGCTCCACACCAAATATTAATGCTATAAGGTTCTTTTTATATCTGCTTAGCCAATTAGGTTATAAATTTGAACAAAGTTTTACAGAAAGTTAGAGAGTAGACTCGAGAGACTAGAGTTTTACTTTTATTTTTTCAGTAATTTACTATTTAGCTAATTATAAATTTGATTTAGAGTCTAGAACTCTAGTTACTCTAGATCATCATTTTATAATTATCAGTTTATGTCAGCCACTACTCATCAATCTAGAATCTAGAGGTGAGTAGATCAGGATCTAGACAAGACGGACCTTTCTTGTAAGGCGCGCGTGCCTGGGGTTTAAGAAATTTCAGGGCTCCAAGCCCAAGGCCAACATCAACATGGCCAAGGGCAAAGGGAGTTATGAAAATGATCATCATGCTGAGCTGAGATGACCTGGGATGTAGCCCCTCCTGGTTAACTGTTAGGAAATTCAATGATTTGCCTTTCAAGCAAAGAAGGACATGGATGAACATTTAATTAAAAATTGAAAATTAGATATGGTCCTGCCCTGAAAATGAATAAATGGCACCAACCGAAAAAGGAATACTTTTTTTTTAGACTGAAGTAATCATGAGAAGTCTACCTTTTGGGGAACAATGTCCACATGTTTAGCTTAGTTTCTCTCATTATCTGTACTCTGTGTCTGTTATATTCAAAGGCAGCACTTTACTTTAGTACCCTTGGTCCCTCACCCTATACAAAAAGTATTTTAAACAATTGTTCTTGATACCAGCAAATGTTGCCCTACTCCACTTCGTGTTTTAAAGAATTTTCCAAGCAAGCACCATACCAGATGATGTACATGTCTCACTACCTACACTTCAGTGGTAATGAAATTATGATGATGTTTTTGCTTTCACTTAGTTTCAGATGCAGTAGATACAATTTGCACTTATATGAAGGAAGACTGGGAAAGTACATCTACTTTTCAAGAATGCCACAGGCCAGACACAAATCCAGGTGAGAATATTTTCATGATCTGTTCAAGAAAATCACACTTTATCAGCAAAGTACTAAAGCACACTCACTGCTTATGTGCATAGGGGTGGTTGTTGTTTGGTAGGGGCAATTGGAAAATTCTATTTTGGGGTAATAGGGGCAATTGAAAACTTCTGTTTGGGGTCAGTTATGCCTATTAATTAATTTGATGTACAAAAGATAATATTGGATTCATTTCTTTACCTCTGCTACCAAAAAAATGAAAGAAAATAACTTGTAATTATTTCTTTCATTCTACAGAATTAGATTGGATACAGGGACCGACATGCTGTTAAGATGGGTCCTCGATAATTCACTGAACACAGAGCTGCAGATGTGACTCGGCATAGTGACCTAAGAGTGGGAGCGGTATGGAACCGTTGAAGCAATTCACCGAACACTGTTGAAGCAATTCACCGAACACAGTCAGAGCTGCATGTGTGACTTGGCATGGTGACCCTTAAAGTCTCCTGATGGCTCCGATTGCGATTCTGATGATTTTACTTTCAAGCAGTCTAGATCAAGGATCTTCTCTGCTTCAACCACTATCGCTTGGATGACATTATGTGTGAAGAAACTTGAAGAACTTGTGTTGAAGGGCATGCTTGAGAAACTAGAATCAATTACATTGATCGTTTTGGCAAAGCTTCAATGTTTCAATACCTCAATCTCTCTTTTATACTGTTTGATTTTAAACATTTTGAATATCATAAATAAAGCAAACTCCACTCATAATTGTAATTGTGTGTACTAGTAATCACAATGAAATGAATTGATTATAAAATCAATGAATTGATTTAAAGCAAACTGGTAACATTTTCCATGAGTTCTGAAACAATGAACTGAATGGTCGTACAGGTGTCAGTTTTCTGTTACAGTATTGTGATGAACTCCTGCAAACATAAATCTTTAATATTCAAATGTATAGCTCAGAACTGCTATTTATCAGGTATACCTACCTCAATCAGTAATGCATATTAGAGTTTTCGATTCCAGTTCCATGAATCCTCATATCGTATCTTTGTATTGAAGAATTTGTTTATCCATTTTCTTTAAATGTTTGTATTCACAGGGGTTGATGCCTTCATTAGAACATGAATATAAGTTACATTTCCACAATTGGGTTTTCTCTCAAAACACAATGTTACTAGTTCACATTTAATGTTTTAATTTGTTACTTCTATAGTCATTCTCATCATAATTGTATTTGGTACTTCAAACTATCCTATAATGATCATACAATATAATGTTGCTGTTTTGAATTGTATCTGTTTGATGAGAAATGAAATTATTTAGTCAAATTGATATTTCCATGTTTATCATGCATTGTTTAGCTGATAATAGTTTAGTCAGAGATTACGTGTTTACCTGGGTGAAGACAACCTTTAAGCATTGGTAAACTTTGTAGCGTTTGAGACTGTGTACTAAATTTTATGGAAATACCCTAGAAAGAGATTGTGTATTAAAACTGACTTGGTTCTGATACTCTACTCACAAGATATATTTATGAAAAACAGTGATGAACAAAAAAGTAACGATGATGATTATATTAGTCATTTTTCCCATTGAAAAACTTCATGATACATGTAGTACATGTATGTCGAGCATTTTGTATGTCACATGTGGCATTTACTCGCTACGATTGCTGAATAAACATGATAACCAAGTCGTATATAAAGAATTAGATAAAGACATTTTAGCATATTTACAAGTACTGTATAATGAATGAAATAACCTTCGTATTCCATGGATGTATAACTGATGAGTCTTTTCCACAAAACCCTAAATGTACATTTCAAAATGCAATACAGTATTGATGATAATTGATGATGATATGTTTGGTATGAATTATTTAATATTTTTGAATTTATGCTCCATTTTCCACTTGCTGTTCTGGTTCCAAATGTTTGAATTAAAACTGCTCAGTCGAAATTCATTTTCTGTGTTTATATTGCAGAGTTGAGTAGTTAGCTACAGATTATGGTCAATGATCAATACTGAATCTTTTTCCTTCATTCAAAAATATTTCTTAACATATTTGCTTTATTTCCTATCTGAAAAATTATATTTAGCTAGGCCCCTCTCTAAAATTTTAGAAATTCCTTATAGTAATAGAGTAGCAAAAGCCCTGATATCACTCGCATGAATTTCAACAAGAAATGGCAGAATTTGTGTGATATTAAAGGGGAGATGGAGGGGGTAAAGAGAGAGAGAGAGAGAGAGAGGGGGAGACTACTTGAACGTGTTCTTAAGTGGAAAGTATATAGTAACTTTAGTGCAATCTTTAGTCCCTATACATACAATGTACCTGATAATTAAACCTCAAAGAATATTAAATACATATCCATTTTTACCTTAAGATTAAAGAGAATAGCTTATTAATCATTTTAAAAGCACTTTGTGCCAATATCCATCTGTGCTATTGATAGTTAATTTATTGTGAGCTGTAGCTTTGTGAACCAAAACTGACATCATACATCTAACATAATTATACAAAGAAGAAAAGGTGCTCTTATTTTATCTATACATATATTAAGCAAGTAATTTTGCCGTATTTCAGTGTCAATCTCATGAAATTGCTTCACACAATAAAAATCCCATATGTTTTATACGCGCTCGGCTACGAGCCGTCACTTCGTGAAAACAAAATACAAGCGTTCTATGTGATTTGTGTTTTCACGAAATGACGGTTAAGTTAAAAGTTCGTACAGAGACATTCAGTTTATTCTTATCAATAAAAAAAATAGCTACCAAACGAGGAAAATGTACTCTATCTCTCAGTTCGCATTATTTTATCTGTACATCAATTAAACAAATCATAATGCCGTTTTTAGTGTCCATTTCGAGAATTCCATCCACAAGGGAAAAGTCCCATACGTTTTACGCGCGCGGCTACGTACCGTCACTTCGTGAAAACAAAATCAAAGCGTTCTATGCAATTTGTGTTTTCACGAAATGACGGTTGTGTTAACAGTTCACACAGAGAAATGAAAAAGCAGCTACAGAAAGAGGAAAATGTACTCTTTCTCACAGTTTGAATTATTTTATCTGTACATCAATTAAACAAAACGTTTTGCCGTATTTAGTGTCCATTTCGGGAATTCCATCCACGAGAGAAAAACCACATATGTTTTACGCGCGCGGCTACGTACCGTCACTTCGTGAAAACAAAATCACAGCGCGTCCTTGAATTTCGTGTTTTCACGAAGTGACGGTAATGTTTACAGCTCATTTCCCCCAAAAATATAAGAAATTATGGAAATATTTAAACATAGAACTAAACATTGAGATATTTTCTATCCCAGGATATAAAATTTATTTGCCTTTGATACATTAAAGAGGTTGAGATTATGGTTTGAAACTTTGAAAGCGATTTATTCAAAACTAACTTTTTTTGAGTTGCGCGCTCTACCGTCACTTCGTGAAAACAGGGACGAATTAGTTTATCTATTGGCCTGTGAGAGATAAACGCAAGTGTCGCGGATGTGTGCATAGTCCCATATACATCTTTCTGTGTGCAGTGCTTGTAACTTTACGAAGACTGGGCCAAATTTATTATCATTTTGAGGATTTCAGAACCTTGCAGTACACACAACAACGTCAACTTGTTTGCTAGATGATCAACCTTTTCTGGTCGATTCCACAACGTTTCTTTCACAATGCAATCGCATGACCATAACTGGTCTTTATCTTTAATGTGAATATCATTTTGTCTAGAAATCATGCAAAAATGTAACTAGGTTATTGAAACTTGGTTCTTAAATATGAATCGTTTAATCGGACAATCAGTAGAGGCCCATTAAAACAACACAGGCAGTCACAGACTTAATTGTGCATGTTTTTTTTTACAGTGCAAGTAAAATACAATAATACAAACAGTAATATTAAGTCTCTCAAATTTTCAAAGGTTCTTAAAATTAGCTACATTAATACATTAAATGAAGCATAATCAAAGGCTGTTGTAACCAGCAGTATTACTAAATATCTCACTCCCATCAGTGACAAATAATGCACGATACTTATAATGAAAAAGTGGAAGGTCAAAAAGCAAAAAAGAAGTGTGTTTATGGAAAAAGGTAAGTATTGTGGGCAACAGAAAACAGAGACTTTAGAACTCAATTGAAAATATCCCATCTAGTCTCTTCACAAAGCCTAAGATCGCCCGGCCCCCCTCCCTCACTCCGTGAACGGAGGGATACCATGCGTGTTATCAAAATGTCCGGTACAGGGGTACTTTTCACGCACCAACGTCCGGCTCGTACATACACACACAAAAAATTTACACACCGGACTTAGGGGGTGTTTTCAAAAGGAGGAAACATGCATATGCGTATACCCTAAATAACACTGAGTGGAGGGGCCGGGTAAGATCGACTCTAATTGGACTTGAATTATGGCAGGCCATTCATGCCTCTGGTTGTACTTGCCATTCCTGGCATTGGTCTCTCAAAGAGACATGCACATCTTGGTCACAAATCTACAGATTTGAAATTTGTTTATAGTCTATCAATGAAGAAAAAAGAAATGTTTAAAATCTAAATCATAATTTCTTTGGTATTTTTCATCTAATTTTACATCTGGTTTAATAGTTTGTATAGGGGGTATAAACTACTTACCATTGTTTGAGCCCAAGTCTTATAAATAGAACTTGATTAAATATTTTTTCTCAAATGAACTATCAAAAAACGTAAATCCTGTAGATTCAAAGTAACAGTTTGCACACACTTGCGAGTTTAATGCCAGGATTGGTGAGAGCAGCCAGCCATGGCATAAACGGCCTACCTTAGGTCAAGTCCAACTTAAAGGACCCCTCCAATCAAAACGGGCTTACCGTTGAAAAAAAGACGTGTAGACGAGTTTTTGACGGACATTCCGAATATGAATGATTTTTCCTAGAAACCATCAATATTCTGGAATCTAGCTTTAAAAATACAACTCGGACCGCTCAGAAAAAGCCCAGTTTCGGAGCTGTATTACGCAATAGGATATGACGTCACTGCAGGAGAAAACATAGCAGGTACGCCCGCTCAGGATAATTCTTTCCTTGGTTATGTAAGAATTTCATTGTGAAAGAAAAGGTGAAATGACTAGAGAAGACAATGAGAGCGATGCAGTTGCAAGTGATTTCAATAATCAATCGGACAGTGATCAGGACTTTAGGAAGTGTTTGAAGAAGTAAATTTCACTGCAATTTTCATACATAATAATGAAACCCTATCAGTTCGAGCCATAGCTAGGGCCAGAGCTCGACGATTTGCCGATTAATAAGCAGGCCTGAGAATTAACCGATTTAAAAAATTTAAAAATCCTTGATTTTTTCCCGTTTTTTTCTTCCCGATTTTTTCCGCCGAATTTTCCCTTTTTTCTCTATTCTCCCCTATTTCCCCTATTTTGTTCCCAATTTTTTGTTGTTGGGGGGAATGGTGTTACATGTCTCCCCCCCCCCCCGAATCCTCTTCTATTTTTTACTCAAGGGGGCGTGGTTGAGGGAAAAAAAAAATTTAGTGCTCACTATCACCCCTGAATAAGACAATTTCTATTTTCACGTACAAGGCACAACGTGGGTGGAGCAGCTGTGTCTGTTAATTCAACATGACGGTGATTTCAGCAAACTGGAAGGCACCCATGTCATGAAGGCGGTTCCATTCCTTGAGATCGTGGAAGACAACCGAAACCCATCGGTAGGTACAATCAGGGGGCGTCGCTAGACTTTTTTCAGTGGGGAGGGGGGGGGGGGGGGTGAAGAGGCCGCCAATTACCGACAAAACTAGCCACCAATTACCGACAGATATATAAATGCCAATCTGACCTATAAACTTTGCTCTTTGTTATAATATAAGAAGCGAAAGCGTATTACATTACGTCCTCATGAAAAAAATATTTAAAAACTGTCGCGTAGTCTACTACGAGGTTTAAACGAGGATAGCCTACCTTTCTAAATTATGAGAGCATGTTAAAAAACAATCCACATAATGTTTAATGTTTTTCAATCCGCATATAAATACAAAAAATGAGAGTACGTGCAATCACCTTGTAAAGTGGGTGTAAGTCCATTCAGGTGGTTCAAGGCCCCTTATTTTAGCATGTTAATTCACAATTGTAAGATTTGACTATTTCCGTACTGACTATATTCATGTTGACTGTTATCATATTGATTGAATTGATAATGACTATTCTTATATTGTGACGTCATTTTAGTCACCGCCAGTAATCGACAGGGCTGAAAAGATGGCGTCACCAAGGATACTCAAATCTCACTGCCATTCGCCTTTCCTACCCGAGGATATCAGCACCGATGATCCGAAAGCTAAGGTAAATTTGTGGCTACATTTTAATACCTTAAGCCCCTTTCACACCGGATATGCGTAGACTTGCGTAGTGTGGCGTACCGAATACGCCAAAAGTAAGCTGCGTATTCATGAAAACAATATTGCTTCGGCATAGTCACTACGTAGGTAATGCGTAGGCTTGCGGACGATGGCCAATGGTTACGTACCCTGTGCGAAGGCGTACCTACGGCATATGCAATTGGCGTGCTTACATGTTCGATTGCGTATAACAGGCGTAAGTTTGCATACGTTTACGTAGGCCTGGGGTAAAGGGTACATAGGTTTGCTTACGGTTGCGTATAGTTGCTTACTGTGTGCAGGTAGAATCTAGGACGCCTTTGTACGCTTTTACTGCTTCGTCGGACTGGCGTAGGGTAGCGTACTATTTCGTAGGTATGGCGTACAGTAGCGTAGTGTTGGAAAGACTTACGTAAACAATGTGTACTTTCTGCGTCTAGTGTCTATGCCGAAAGTCACGTACCCTTTTGCGTCCCTCAGCGTATAGTTACGAAGGCCAGCGTAGGGTAACGTACGTTTGGCGTAGTCGGTACGCAACACTACGCAGTTCTACGTATGGCCCGGTGTGAAACCCGCTTTAGGGCGCGTTCATGCTTGATTTTGACGGCCAGAATCAGGCATCTGTTACGCGTTTAGTTTAAAACACGGTTGCGTCTTAGCTCACTTTTGTAGAATCACCGAAAAACGGCGATCACGATCGCCGATCGTAAACTCACAAAAAGATGCGTTTACAATTTGTAAACGCGTTTAAATGGGGTCAACGCACTGACCTCTAGTGGGTCTACGTAGCATGCACAGTGAAGGTTTGCGAATCCAGCTGGAAGACCAATTAAGGCCACACACTGAGAATTGCCTGGGGGAGCCAGAGAAGTAAGCATGAACACTACATCGTGGAACTGCGATCACGATGAGCGTTTACGATGAGCGTTTCAGATCGCTCATTCTGCCTTCAAAATTTAAGCATGAACGCAGCCTTAGTCACACCAACGAGACCCTTGTCACAGTCCAGAATCTCCGGCCGTGTCAGATATAGAGTACCGGAGTGTTAAATTCATATTCGCTCGTCGCTAAGGTTACTGGTTCTAAACAACGAAACCTGCGCACGAGGTTAACCACGAAACCATTCAAGCAACGGGCTGGATTAGGGCAGGGAAAATTCAACATTTGGGGCTGGAATGATTCCCACTTCCCTGGGTTCTTTACTGGATTATGATCTATAATGTATGCAATTCGCATTCTGACTACTTAGATAAAATTATTCGTAAAAGGTGCATAAAATAAAATAATCTAGGCACTTCACAGTTACATATGAATACAATTTGGTAACATTACGAAAATATTGAGTTGATTTGCAGGTGATTTACGTAGCCCGGAACCCAAAGGATACGGCTGTTTCCAATTACCATTTCTGCCATTACATTCCACCCCTGCCGAGCTATGATTCTTGGGATATGTTCTTTGAAGAGTTTCTAGCTAACAGGGGTAAGTCGTCATTTAGAATTTTATACCCAAGAAGGGACATTTTCTGAAAAATTAAAACTGAACGTGATCGCAGATACTTACAAATAATCAGCCGAAGACTATTTCAAAAGCTTTGTCAATTACTTATTGAAATGTGTGGTCGCACTAATGAGGTATTACGCAATCTGAACATTGTTTCTATAATACATTATTATTATTATTATTATTATTAAGGATTTGGTGTAGCCTGTGCGTGGGAGGTAAAGAGCGAACTGGATCACTGTAATCCTTGTGTGTCTTCTCTCGATATAACTGATTGGGGTGTACAGGTGGACCACTTTACCGGGGTTTCCCCCTTACTCCTATACGACTAGTGCAGTGTGTTCTTAACGTGCAAAAGTGGTGACTCCCCTCTATAGTATAAGATGCTATCCGAGGGACTTCCCCCTTTAATTCCCATTTCGCAGATGAAGGATTCGATGCGAAAACCAACAGCGCGCAGCTACGGAAGCAGCGAGCCCCGGAACCATACTGCTATTGCTGACATGAGGTGGCGTTAGAGGAGATTTTGCGGTTATGCTGCTAGTACAGCATGGCTTTAAAATATGGGTACACTGTAAACACATGCATCAAACAAGATTATTTTGGCAATAATTATTGAAATGACTTTTGAGATGATTTCTTCAAAGTCATTGCGATTGCATTATTTTTACCTTAGCTCCTCAAGGATCTTGGTTTGAAAACGTGTTGCCATGGTGGAAGAGAAGGAATCATCCAAACGTTCTCTTTCTCAAGTACGAAGATATGAAAAAGGTGAGTTGTATCGTTGTATCCTCTAAAATATGATATAAAATAGTACATTATATTCCAACTTTGAACCATAAATGGGTCCGGACATTTACAACATGACAATTACAACCGGCCAATTCTTTTATGTTACCGCAATGAAAAGGCGCTATATCAAATATCTTTCGGATTGGTTTGGATCTAATAGCAAAAGACAATACCCCCTGTGATAAAAACTAATAATCATATTAAGCCGTTCCTCTATAGCGCATTATGATATAACATCCTTATGCACTTCCAAAAATGTTTGATTATTATAACACTCGCTTTAGCTCTGGCAGCCGTTATCAGCACAGCGTTTCAAGAAATAGCTCCCATCAGGTGCTCATAAAACACCTGGGTGGAGAGTGGCAAATGTGCCTTAATTGCCTTGCTGGACAAGTTACTCCTTCAGCGAAAAGCCCCCTTAGAATATGACCCCTAACAGATGACAGATATCTTTGTGTAAACGTATTAGATTCAGTTTCACGTGGAATCATTATGTTTTATATTTTCAACAACAAGAACAACACTAATAATGATAATACTACTAATGATGATGATGATGATGACGATAAGATAATGATGGTGATAATGATAACAATAATATCACTACTACTACTACTGTTACTACTACTACTATTACTACTACTACTACTACTACTACTACTACTACTACTACTAATACCACTACTTCTGGGACTAATAATAGTAATGATACTGATAATGATACTGATAACGATGACAATAATTACAATAACAACAATATTCGTACTTTATAGCTCTTTTTCTAATGATACAAAACTAGTTTTGTAATAGAAACAATAACAATGTCTGTAAACTTGAGACCATATTAACAAAATATATCATAATTTCAATGGTGAAAACATTTTGATAATGTTAAATAAGATAATTCTTAATTCCTCATACGAATTGTAGGACCTACAAGGAGCCGTTCGACGGATAGCTGAATTCATGGGAAAGCCCCTTTCAGATGACGTCATCGAGAACATCTCAGAAGCTTCTACGTTTAAGGCAATGAAGAAGAACCCTTTATCAAATCCCGACACTCTGCTGCAGAATGGCAACCGGGAGTCCGGACTCGGACAATCAAGTACATCCTCATTCATGAGAAAAGGTATCAGATGAATGAATAGACGGTATTGGCAAAATACAAAACAAATTGAAATTAACCCCCCCCCCCCTACACTGGAGTAAATTAGATTGGACCCTCTTCTATTACGAGGAAAGGTATAGAAGATCACATCAATTATTATATAATATTGGACGGATTTGAGCGTGATACAAGAATCTATTGCTCGAGCTATGTCAATATTGAACGAGTCGTAGACGAGAACACTTTTCTTTTCTTTTTTTGCCCCCCAAAAATTTGAACATCGCGCCGGCCGATATTTCGTTCAGTGTTGGGGGGGGGGGGGGGGGGGTATGAGCACTTTTCTTCTTCTTTTTTGGCCACAGTCCGTCGGTATTTTCTGATACCGCGGGTTAAAACCTTGACCATCATGATTTTAAACCACTAATATAGCTTACCTTTGACATCCAAATTCAGTGTCCAATCTCTGGGCTTGTGTTGTCTTGATGTTTTTCTTGTTCCGTGTGGTCTTTCTCTTATCTTATGCCGGGCTTATATCCTTTTAAAAAAATTACTAAATGAGACTGTGATATTATAAATAAAAAATATATTTTTAAATTGATTTTCTGCATCCCCTCCTTCCACTTTTAGCTAGCATTATTTATCTCTAACCCATTCTCTCTATATAATATTTTGTGTTATATTCATACTTATTTTTACCCCTTTCATTATTTATTCTTTCATTTCTTGCTATCTTTCTTTCTTTCTATTTTCCTTTTATCATCCTACATTCAATTCCTCACAAGGTGTGGTTGGAGACTGGAAGAATTATTTCACTGACGAACAGAACAAGCGATTTGACGAGCTGTACAATAAGGAAATGGCTGGCTCTGGACTTGAATTCGAGTTTTAGGAGTTGCCGTCTTTGACCATTGCCATCGTCGATTGAAATGTTATGAGGAGGGCTTTGTCCAACGTCTGGATGAACTATAGCCTGATAGATAGATAGATAGATCGTCGACCGGAGTGAATATTGATTTTTAAATTTTTTAAATGACATTAAAATTGTGATACACATTCACCTCCAGCTCTCAAAAGAGGGCAGTAGACAGTTGTATAATTCTTGTAACAGGACTTCAATTCTAGTTATTATGATTCTTGATAATTCTATTTTTTTTTTGCTATAGATTAATGCTGCATCGTCATTTAATAATTTATAGTAACGTAATATATATATATATATATATATATTTTTTTTTTTTTGGGGGGGGGGCTGAAATATCAAATTGTTGAATTTATCTAATTGTTTTACATAAATTCTGTCATCAAATGATTTATGTTTTGATATGATAAATCTGAACAAAATTTGTTCTTGATATGTTTCAATGCAAAGGAATATAATCATCGGCATCAGCATCACCTTTCTTTCGAAATAGTGTAAAATACATTCATGTTTATGTTACGAACCTTATACATATTCATGTATGTTAATGTAAATTATGTGCATGCGCAGAGGACTGAACTGTAGAATGATGATTTCTGATTAAAAAAAACTAAGTCAGTTTGCAAACTGCACAGACATTTTTTTTCCTGGAATTCATAATGTTGTTACTGTTGTGTGGTTATGATTTTATGATATGGTATTTTGATATAATGTCACCTTGCTGTGATTCGGGATTTGAACTCAGGACCTTTCGCACCCACCGAGAATCATACCACTAGAGATTTAATAAATAAAAATAAAAAGGTAACTTCGCAGTAATTTTGAATATAACAAAGGATATGTATTGGGGATAATTGTTATTTCAGATGTGCATCAATTTTTGCTATCAAGTTGGGATTGTTACTTGTCGTTTAAAAAAAAAAAAAAGTTTCGGGGGGGGGGGGGGGGGGATTTATTGCTTGCAACTTAATTTGTGTAAAAAAAAAATTTTTGTTGTCACAAGTGGGCTCAATTACACATGCTATCATTTACTCATTATCATGATCCTATCTGTTTGGATTGGAATCAATAAAGCTTGAATTTTAATTTGAGTTTGATTTTGAATTTGAGTTTGAATTTGAATTTGTTCAGCATTTAAACTACAGGTAATTGCACGTTTTATACCAGGTATCTCTCACCTTAATTTGTTCTATCTAGTGCATTGAAAAATATCTTCATGGAAATGTTTGTGCATTTAAAGTTACATTTACATTCTAATGTTTATCACTGTCAAAGTAAATTTGTACATGTTAAGCTCTATCAGTAGACATTGTTTGCTAAACGTCCTGCTGGAAAGGTTGCTGACATATGTCTTTATTAACAGCATTTGATCTATCTCCTAAAATGCCTCTGTATGTGTAAGTTGTTTGTGTCATTGTAAACGGTTTGAATGAATCGTACTCTAATGACGGAGCTGGTATATTATTACCAAGATTTCAAAACATATATAAGAAGACGGTCGAGAAAGGGTAGGTTTTTTTACACTGCAAATAAGTGGGGTAAAAAATATGTACCCAATATGAGCTACAAAGAGAACATATTATGTTTGTTGGGTAAAACATTGCCCTATTTTGGGTAAATTTAATTTTGTTTAGCACAGCTGTGAAATTCTACCCACCAAACATGCATGTTGCATTTTTTAAAGTCGAATACTGGGTAAATTTTTACCACCATGTTTTTTACAGTCTGTTAATTCGTCCCATTAAAAGAAGTAGGGCCTATAAAGTGTAGTTTTCTAACTTAGTTTACACATCACGGAATTCCGACAGTTAGGGTTAGTTATTTTCTTTTTCTGTTGGTACATCTTCAAGTTTGACCAAGGAGAATCCTAGGGTGTTCTTTCCTCAAAGTGATTTGTAGAAGAGTGAAGGAGAGAAGAGATTTGAGAGAGAGAGAGAGAGAGAGGTAGAGGAAACGAGACAGGGAGAGACAGAGAGAAGGAGGGGGTGTTTCATGGAATGACCCTTTTCTTGTTCTGAAAGTTATGTTTAAGACTTGTGACGAGACTAGAAGAAATAGTTCGGAGAAGAAGGGGAAGACGAGAGTTGTTATCTACGTAATGGCAGTTCGCCAACAGCGACGACAGTCGCTAACAGTTTAGCAGTTTGCTTGCAGTTCCAGCATTTCTATGTTGAGTTGGGAACTCTTTAGATAATCCTTAAGGTATGTTTATTCATTGAGTTATATTTCTTAAAATACAGTGCTTTAAAATGCCACTGAAAGTAGTTGCAAGTTATAGAGATTACAGTCGCACGATGGAAGCGATAGCCTATATGAATGTGTGTAGTGACGTGAAACGAATCGCGAACATGGATTCGTTGAAAGTTTGATTGATAGTTAAGACGGTCTTTTGAAGACCTTTTCCTTTGTGAAAAGATAAAGTAGTTTAAAATTGATGGTTGTCAGGAAGATGATATGTGAATTTAACTTAGTTAATTATGAGCATGGGTAGACTTTGAATAAGTTAAGACCAAACTATGTTTACTTGCGTATGTACGTGTGAAGGTATCTTAGTTACGAGAACCTCTTCACGCACGATTTAATGTGCGGATGAATATCATTTTAGAGATAATGTGATAAGTTCATGATTGTTAGTCTCGTTTTAGGGCTTGAGAAAGTTTCTTGTTTGTGTTATTGATTATTCTTTTTGTCTATGATTATGCATTTAATGCTTCTTTAAAGATTTATGGTTTATTGAAAGTTGGCATATTATTATAACTATAAAATTTAGATTCACTGACACAAGAATGGAACTTGAGTATATGTGGAAATTGGATTGCTAAGTGTTAAACGTATTGCTAGAACATATATTTAGTGTTTTCATTTGTTGTATTTTGCAGGAATTATCCCACACAGTTGTTGAATTTTTTCTCTTCACTTTCCAATGATGGTCCACGACAGTGTCACAATAAAGGAACCAACATGAGTTAAACGGATGTCTCCTTTGTTTCATCATTGAATTGCAACAACGTGTTTAAACTAGAAGTCACATAAATCCTTTGAGTCCGTATTCCATCACAGGGTGGGAGAGAAAAAATAGAATGAGGGATGGAGTGGTGGGGTTAAATACTCGATAATGTTTGTAATAATTATTCTTGACAGTATTATTAGTAGGCCTAGTAGTAGTATCTTTATTATAATAGTTTTGTAGTATTATTATTATTTAAAAGCATGTAATTTATCATTTCAAACTCAATGGATTACATAGTTTATTCAAATATAGCAGAATCCTATCATACCTACAATTATAAAGATACGTTACTGTAAAGGGAAGGACTGTCACTGATATTAATTGTCACTTTTATTACACATGCCAAATGTACTAGGCATGATATACCTGGGCCTCGTTTCATAAACCTGTTCTCAATAACAAGTTACAATAACTGTTTTCAGCTACTGAAATCGTGGCATTTGATTTGCTAGGAGCAAACATGTCATAGAAACGTAGTATTTGTTATTGATAAGAAGTTTTGTGAATAGGGTCCTTTATTCGTGTCGAAGGGGGAGGGGGTGGGTAGGGTAGATTCGTTTGTCAACATTTGGATTTATATGCAAGAACGTTAACTTCCCTTATTAGAATATAACAATAATGCAAACATCAACGTTGCCCTTATCACGTCCTTCTCTCTCTCTCTCTTTCTTTCTGTTTGGCCCTCCTCACCCCACGGATTTAGAGCCCCGTGTCCCCCTCCTCGCGCACCCTGTAGCTAGTACGCTATTGAAAAAGATCTATTTTTGAATACTATGTTAACGACCTATGTATAGGCCTAAGAACACAACCTAATACATTTAGGCTACGCCTCCTACCGATCTTTGATATCAATATTCCAAAGCAACTGCATCTTTACTAATGTGCTGGCATTTTATCTTATTTTTTACGCGGATACTGTTTAAGGCAGAAAAACAAATATGAGCGCTGGATTTTCTTCCAATGTTCCGGCATGCGGCGTCGAGACGTGTTACGAGCGCGAAGGCGTGATCCTACCAAATATTATGCCTCTTAAGGTCCTTAAACGCGTGAGGAGCTTCACCGTTCGACCTTATGACCTGTTCATCGTGACCTACCCTAAGCCAGGTTCATCAACCCTTTTTTAACCACAATCTTTGTTGAACGGAGTACAGAAGTATGACATCGTGCTGGCCAAGTTGTCAAGATTGATGGTTCCAAACAATGGTGTTGTGTTCGACCACACCAGCCCCAAACAATGAATTCGCCCTGTCGCAGCCTGCTGCTTGAATGATTTTGCGGTGAGCCTAATGCGCAGACTTTTTTTTTTATAGAACCAGTAACCGGATCGACGAGCGAATGTGACGTTAGCACTTTGGTCACACTCTGTAGCCTAACTTTAAATTGTAGAAACCTGTTTTTATCAGGAAGAAAAGGTAACCAATTTGAGTCCCAGCACACTCAAGTTTTGAGTGAAATTAGTAGCCCTTGGCATGTAAGTGATTGGACTTCAGAGTGGAGTGATATATTTTCTAATCACTCTACCAAAGCACCATTAACATGAATAACCTTTCCGCATCCTATGTCTATTTGTCGCTCAATAAAATGAGAGTGTGCATCTTTCTGTATGACCTTATTCAAATAATGATGAGAAAAATCCAATAAAGTTTAGTCTTGCGCGTGACTGCCCGCTCCTATACGCACACACACACGCACACGCTCACGCACGCTCACACACAGACACACACACGCGCACATACACAAATGTTTGTCATTGTATTACAAAATCATATTGTTTTCAAATGTACAATGCATTTCCGGATATGCTTTTGACCATGAAACTATTATACTTTCTTTCTGTATTGTATTCTTCTTTTTTTCAACTTCAACATCTGCCAATCAATGCCAAATATAATGATATAAGTTTTAAATGTCAGTTACTGCAGAGGTAAGATGGTACATGTAATAATGATACAAAGATATGTTTACATTCGGTTAAGATA